GGCCTTCATCCGATCTCAGTATCATCGCCTTCAACCGGTTGATTCGGAGTCCCAGTTCTGCCCTTCTTCTCTCGAGCAATTGCAATGACTTTTGTAGCTGACTGGATTTTTCTCCGGAACGATACCATTTTTTCAGCCAACTTTAACTGGCCCAGCTTCATCATTGTTATTAATCCCACCCTTCCAGTTCATCCCCTGTAATCTCATTTTCATTGAAGCAGTGAAAAGTTTGAGGGAGATGGTGTCCTCTTATTTCACGCCCCTCTTTAGGGAAATTCCGAGGAGGTGTCGAACAGTGTGATGGTACTGAATCTGTCAAAATTAGCTTCTTTTGACGGGTTGATGTAACGGAGCCGTCGATGTCTTATTTTACCACTATAGTTCATATTGCGTTGTAATCGACTGTGTCGAACGCTTTCTCGCAGCTGACAAAGGCTATAGAGGAGGCTGGAATTCCCCTTGACTCTCGAGAAGCTGACTTAGGTAAAGATATTATCCGTTGTACTAAAGCACCTTCAAAATCCTTCCCGTTCTCTCTATTACTGCTGGTCCAGAATTGTTGACATTCTGTTTATAATATTCTTGGCAATCATGCTTGTGGACTCGTGAGGACAGGCAGATTGGGTGATAGCGCTTCAGGTGTTTTTCCTCGCCCATCTTGAGCAACACGATTGCATAAACTCCATCCAGCTTAATGGCATCTTTTCGATTTTCAGGTAGTAACTAAATCTTTCCGTCTGAACCCTTCACAACGTCTGACTATTTGCTCTGATCATTTCAATTGTCACACCATCTCTCCCTCGGGCCTCACCCTCCTTCATTTTGTTCATGAGCACCGTCAGTGCACCTCCTTTCAGCTGTTAAGGTGCTAGTGGGGGAGCACGTCTGACGCAAACAGCTGAATGTAATAGTTCTTGCAGATAGGCAGCATCTTAGATCTGTCAAACGCTAACGCGCCATGATGATCGACTGATAAAACGTTAACTTTCTCCTGCATTGCCTAAGGCTTCTGTGGTCTTCAGCTGATTTCTTTAGTTCTCATAATCGGAAGGTCTCGAAGTTCTCAGATGGATATGTAGGCGATAAATCGTTGTCCGCGAGATGATGCATAAACACCGGTCGTCTGAAAATTCTAGAAGTGCGTTTTAATATTAAATGATACCATACACTTAGCACGAAAAAGGCCTTTCTGCCATGGATGATTACAGCTTAATGAATCGTGTTGTTCTATATATAAGTCACTAAATTCTTTAGCATTATTTTTTCGTCCTGTGCGAGTTGTCATGACATGTAATTTAGCAACTGTGGATGACAATGAATGCAGTCATTAACAGGGGTACTACTGAAATTATAATTGGCTGGCAAAACCAAGAAAATAGATGAGGGCTTAAGGAAACGGTGAATGGTTAAAACTTACCACTAAAGTCATTCCAACTTGCCAGCACTAGTCGCTGCGTTGGAGCAATCAGAATTTTGTGATGTCATTATTCAATATTCCCAATAGAATAGTTGTCTTGCGGATCCCGTAAATCATTATGGAATCCTAAGCCGTTTCTGAATATTGAGTATAATTTTTCTGTGGTTATCTCGACAAATGGATAGCCACGTGGTGCAATTATCTTGTATGTTTCTAAG